GTCATGACACTATAATTTAAAAGTGCTCTACAATGATTCCCATCCCAGGACCTCAAATTCTTTCTCTTAATTAATTTCATTCATTGAAACTGCTCTAAGGGCCAGAGATTTTTATGGCTCTCTTGCAAGGAAGTCAGGTTACATGCAGGGAATTCTCAATTATGCACGCTAATAATAGGAGAGATCAGGAGTGAAGATTATCCTGAATAGTGGATAATCCAAAAATCCTTTCTGTTGGCCTTTGGAAGGTATGGCATTATTATTATGTGTTATGTTTGTTGCTGCTAGTGGTTTTATTATTTATTTATTTTATTATTATTTTTTTTTTTTTTGGCATGGGACATTGAGCAGGATACTAACAGAAAGAACCACAATGCCAACTTGACCAAGCGCTGGTTCAGAGGGTGGCTTGGGAACATCCTGAATGGCAACAGAGAGGACACCCGGTATAAGGCATGCATGCGATAGATGAAGGACAGCAAACACATATAAATCTGAAGTTTATGTTGTCAGGGAGAAAAGCAATCCTTGCCATTTTTTCTCTGCTCTCTTAATAACCTGGCTATTTCTCTTCAGTTAAATGACGAGGAAAGAAAACTGAAATGAATGTGAATTTGCATTACAAATTTGAAATGGTGAAGTTTAAAATATTTCCTCTATTTGTCAGATATATAAAAATAGACATTTGGGGCCCAGTTAAACCTGGAAGGGCTTATTATGCAGGGACTTGTTTTTGCTAATGATTCTAAGTGGGATCAGCAGGTAATCAGTTGAGAATAGAGTATGAAAGGGGAATTAAAATATACACTTGGTATTTGGTTCAAAATACCCCAGAGTGTCCCAGGTATTCATGCTCCCTGTCAGCCCCCATAGGAAGCAACTTTATCTTGGACACATAGATCCTAAACACAGTTCTTCTCCATAGTACTTTCCCTAAATTGATGCACCAGCAGACGTGCAGAATGTCTTCTGCGTTGCAGCCACTGGTAGGATAAGGATCAGGAGCAAGAACATTTATTCATTCGTCTATCCATCTATGTATTTACTTATTTACCTCCTGTATACAAAGCACTTTGTTAGACAGGTGAAGGATACTGAATGTGTCTATGATACACGTCATCTCTGAGCATACCATCTACCCAGTAATATAGGATATTTCATGTAAGAAGCAATTAACTAAGCAAGTAAAGTTCAAATGATACGTAAGTTCTGTAGTCAGTGTGAGGAGTGTGTTTTGGGTCAGACCTTCTACCTTCTGCCTGAGGTGTCTACTTATGCCAACTCCCTTCATTCTCACAAGGAGCCTGTATAACACCCAAGTATAAAAAATGGTGCTCAGAGAGAGAGGCTGGAACCACACTGCAATTCAGCCCCGGACTTCAGATTCCAACAGGACATTCCATATCCGTTCTCCAGGAAACAAAAGTAGATTTTTGTGGATGAAGTGGATGAAGGAGTCATGGATGAAAATATAAAAAAAAAAAAAAAAAAAAAAAAAAAAAATTGACCCAGTTGGGATGGAGGGGAAGGCATAGTTTGCATATGGAGCTAAATATTAAAAAAGAGAAATCCTTAGTCACAGCATGCTGAGGGAAAATAAGCAACTAAAACTATGGCAACTAAATTGGACAAGATGAGTGAATGCCACCATATCCTTTTCTGGGCTCATGACCTTGTAATTATGAGTCTAGGTTTCTTCCTCCACTGCTCAGGTTACCTCATAGATGACTGAAAAGTTCATATTATATGCTGTACATTAAGATGTTTTTAAATTGGCACAGTAAATTGAATATCTTAAATTGGCAAGTGCTTTTATTGAAAATACTCTTTTAGTCACACCTAAATTCGCTAAGCCAGAGAGCTCTAAATTGGGATAAGCCACAATTGTTTTATGATGACATTATGAAGCTGGCACTGAGAAGTGTTCACCAATTGCAGCTTTGAGATGGCCTTTTCTAGATCCATTGGTCCATATTATATGGTGCAGCTGACAAAGAGTTATTCTTGCATATTCCGATGTCGTATCCTAAGCCCCAGTCTGTATCTATTGAATTTAACTGTTGATAAATGAAGACAGAAAAGCTAAGCTATTTATTGCTGTCAGCATCAGATAAAGAAATTTCACTTAAAATTAGAAGAGATTTCACTTAAATAAATTTCACTTAGATAGGAAGTTTCACTTAAAAATTACCAACAAGAGTTACCGAATTATTCCATTGCTTTTCTAGTGATCGTTGCACAAAATGTTGCATCGAATTGTCTTTTCCAGTTGCAGAAACGTTAAGAATTTTCTTCATGCATTTAACCTTTGCCAGCCACCCTCTACATGATGCAACATCAAAGGAATTCCTTTGGGAAAAACTAGATAATCAGGTTTGTGAGGGAAGACCTTTCATATGTCATCATTGCTTACCTAACTACAGTGAAGTATAATTTTGTAAGCAAGGAAGAATCAAAAAAGATATGACAGAAATCCTTTTTAGCCAGGTTCTTAAAAACTGACCCAAACAATGTTAGATTTTTATCTTCCATGGCAAATCAGGTGTCAAGGTGAATTTGGATACCACGTACATTGAATGAACTTCTCAATTAGATGACAACCAAACGATATTCTCAAGTTCCTATAACTTAACAATATAGAAATAAAGGCCTTTAATCTCTTATTTTCCTCCACAATCCTCTGTCCAGTCCAGCATTGGAGAAAAGAGGAATCTTGTTATGAACGCTTTTGAGAACAAAGCACCAGCTTTTTTATTAGAGACTGGGAGCACAGCTTATGTATACATGCCTCAGCGTCAGCTAAATCAATGACTGTTGTTGTTTTGTTTTGTTTTGTTTTTTCTCTTTCATCCCTGGAAAACTTTGATGTTTACAATAGAAAGCCACCATTAAACACAAAGATTACTACTGATGCCAAACTGGTTGCAGTAGAACTTGATCTCTGCTAAGTGAGGATGCTTGCTGTAGAAAGAGGTATCTTTTGTCTTTTCAGACTAGATGGTGATTACCTAAAATGTTAAATGCGTACCATCTACACATACAGGCACTTTACTATGACTTTACTATGATTGCAGTCAGGTCATCTGAACAAATGTGAAGCTATTTTCCATTTCTATGTAAGAATAAACTGATTTTTAGATGTGTACTTTTTAGAACACTTTCAACTATATTATCTCTCAATTATCACACCAGTTCTGTGGTATATATTAGGTACATGTTTCAAAACAAAAACAAAAAGAAGAAACAAACATGCAAGTTTTAGAGACTTTCCCTAAATTTATGTAAGTTTAAATGATGTGGCAGCATCAGAAACAGATTTCATAGTGTCTAGAAATTTGTCTAGAATATTTACAGTCACCTGTATCCTACCACTTTCCTCAATGACAATGAAAATACTTATTATAAGGATCAATAGCTCTAGAAATGGATAGTGTTGGAATATGGTTTAATTTTATTGATCAGTCATATGTTATATTTTAATGGCTCCCATTTTAGCATGGCATTTTTTAGTGGTTATTACTCGTGAGATATAGATCACAGAAAAGTTCTAATTTTCATACATCTGGCTAGCAATTTTTAACATCAGGAGGCCCCTAGAATTCCTGTTTACTTATTAGATGTTTAGACAGACATGATAAAATAGAATCTCAACAAATGCATGAATGCTGGCCACATCCCAGAGACGTTGGGAATAAGGCTCATGAATGTAAGAATAAAGCTCACGAATAAGAGCCATGAAGAGCCACTCTAAAAAGGGAGGGGGGTAGGGTACAATTGGGGTAGGGAGAGCAAGCGTTATCCAGGGATAGCTAGTAACTTATCTGGAGGTAAAAGATGGTCAGAAGATATTGACTCCCTTTTAATAAGGGGGAAAAAAAGTTTTTTTTTTTTTTTTTTTTTGTACAGCAATGGGTGAGCTTCCTCAAATTCCCTTTCCCTGTTCCCTGTTTCTTTTCTTTTTTTTTTTTTAATTTTGTTTTTCAACGTTTATTTATTTTTGGGACAGAGAGAGACAGAGCATGAACGGGGGAGGGGCAGAGAGAGAGGGAGACACAGAATCGGAAACAGGCTCCAGGCTCTGAGCCATCAGCCCAGAGCCCGACGCGGGGCTCGAACTCACGGACCGCGAGATCGTGACCTGGCTGAAGTCGGACGCTTAACCGACTGCGTCACCCAGGCGCCCCTCCTGTTCCCTGTTTCTTATAGTTATTCAAAATGAGGAATAAGCCATTGCCAGGATCCAGTTCTATTTTGTGCTCACAAAGGGCAGGCTGTTCCAACAAGCTGTGCCTGCTTGAATGCATGGCTGACTGAGAGGTAACATCATGGATTTGGGGGTGGGGAGGAAAAAGATAAAGATTATCTTATGAGAACCCAATATGAGAATAGAACAGAGCATGAGAACCCAGAGAACAATAGAAGGGATAAAGTGGGACCCAGGAGAGACAAAATGGTCAAAGATGTATCCATTAAAAGTAATAGCTACTTGAAAGCAATACCTGTACTACTAAAGATATAGAATAAAGATAACTTCTGGGAACCTTGAAGACCCAATGATAATCATGAAATGCAGAGGTTTTTCATTGCCTGTATGATTGATTGAAGAGCAAAAATGGTAAACCATGCTTTTTGTCTCATTTGGTTGAGAGCAAACTGCCATTTTAAGTCTGAGAGGAGATCGGGGGTGGCTCAGTCAGTTAAGCGTCCAACTCTTGATTTCAGGTCAGGTCATGATCTCACAGCTTGTGAGTTTGAGCCCCACATTGGGCTCTGCACTGACAATGTGAAGACTGCTTGGGATTCTCCCTCTCCCCCTGTCTCTGACCCTCCCCAGTGCTCATTCTCTTTCTCTCTCTCTCTCTCTCTCTCTCTCTCCCTCTCAAAATAAGTAAATAAATATATATTTTTTAAAAGTCTGGGATTTCTTGCCTATGCTTAACTCCCTTAGAAGATCGTGTGTAGTGTTTAAGAACAAGGAATGAAGAAATGTAAGACAGGAGTTTGAATTAGCTCTACTATTTATTATCTGGGTGATGACAGATAAATTACTCAAATTCTTTTGACCTCAGTCTTCTCTTTTGTTAATTGAGATAGTAGTACGTTCCTTGCAGGTTGTTAAAAAGGTTCTGTTCCATGATGTACGCACAACTTTTAGCACAGTGTTCAGTGCTAGACTCAAGTCAGTGTGTGATGATAGCCCTGGATACTGCGAAGAAAAAATAAAAAATGTTCGTGTCACAAAATGACTGAACTTTTAGCTGCATTCCACACAAGTGACCAACATGTTCTGTTGCCTCTAAATGATTTCTTTTTATCACTTACTTAACCGTTTGGCTCTCTCCCAGTTTTCTTTCCTCCAAGAAGCATCGAAACTGATCTTTGAAAAATGCAAGGCAGGTCACGATACACCACAGAGTAAGTCTCTCCCTTGTGTTCCCTTTGCACTCTACATGACATATCCAATCCCCTACCAGGAACCATCTCCCTACCCCCTCTCTACCTCTCCTCCCACTTTCCCGAGATAGGTTTCTTCTCATTTCTCCAACACATTACACAAGTTCCTATTTTTAGATATTTGCTATAGACATTTTCCTCTGCCTGGAATATTCTTGCAGCAGACAACTCAAGGTTGATCAATTTTTGCCATATCGATTTTAACTTCATGCAGGATCTCTCAGTCTCTATACAATTAACATTTTAATCTGGGTAATTTTTTTGTTGTGGGGGAGGAGGTCCTGTGCTTTGTAGGATATTCAGGATTATCCCTGGGCTCTCTCTGCCAGATACCGGTAGCAAACCTCTTCTCTCCCCCAAGTTGTATTAAGACTGTTTGCAGGCATTGCCCAATGTCCCCTTGGGCGCACAATTGTCCCTCCTCCCAACACACCACTGGCTTCATGTTACTTTCTCAGAGAAGCCTTTGCTCATCTTTCAACCAAAGGTAGCCCCTGAGTCACGAACCCCACCATCTACTCCCCATTATCTACCAAAAAGCACTATAACCCCTCATCTTTTCTTTCTCACTGACCTACCTGGTTATTATCTATCTTCCCCAATGCAGTGTGAATGCCTTGAAAGCAGAAACCATGATTGGCTTATCTATAATAAGGATGTAATAAACACATACTTGCATATATACATACATAATGGCTGAACAAATGGGTTGATGAAGACATGTATGCAGTGTCCAAACAGCAGTTTAGTTTTAGAAACCCTGCCTCCAAACATGATTTTATGTTAGTAATTTAAAGATTAAATTTTATACTACACCCATCTGTCAAATATGTGTGCTTCCTGTGCACCAGACATTATTCTAGTAGTTTTACAATACAGTGGTCAACAGGGAAGAAGAAACTTACGTTAATTCGAAAGTCATTTGCCAGGCATTTTAAGGCTGCAAGTTGGGGAGAAAGAATATTTTTGATAATGTATACTTGTTGCCAGTATCGTGTGGGAAGAATGAACATTCTCTCTTTAGACCTTAGTTGTATATTTCTTCTAAGTCCTTCACCAATCCTAGTTAATTTTTCCTTATAATTATTTTTAAATGTTTCTACAACTTTTTAAGTAAAAAGAATTTTTTAATGTTTATTCTTGAGGGGGGGAGGGGCAGAGAGATACAGAATCTGAAGAAGGCTCCATCCAGGCTCTTAGCTGTCAGCACAGAGACCAATGTGGGGCTCCAACTCAGAAGCCGTGAGATGAGATCATGACCTGAGCCAAAGTCAGATGCTTAATGGATTGAATCACCCAGACATCCCTGTTTCTACAGCTTTTTAAATTTGTATCTGGTAGATCCTCTAGAATTTGTTGTATAGAGTGAAGAATTTAATCTTTTTTTTAATAGACAGGCTAAGTTATTAGAATACCATTCATAGGACAGTGCATAATTTTCCCACATATCTTAAATACTACATTCAATATACACAAAATTACCGAAATTATGAAGCTCTATGTCTTTCAGAACTCTTGTGTTTAATCTTTCTATTTAACTTGGTGCCAGTATCACTGTATTTTGTTAAACACGGCTTTATAGTATATTATGGCATTTGGTAAAATTTGGTAAAATTTGGTAAAACTTTCCCGTCATCCATCTCCCAGTTAAACTTTTTAGTTAAACTAATCTTGTATTTTTTCTCTTTTGGCTGAATTTTAGAATCAGCTTGTCAAATTTTATTTGAAAAATTTGTCAGTATTGTATTTCTTTCATAATCAAAAATATAGTGTTCATATAAATGGTAACAAAACTGTTAAAAATTAAAATACATAATAACATTCAGTATTGCAAAATGCTATTGGATCTCATAAACTGAAACACGACTTGTGGCAACTTGGACTGTGTCCATTTGTGCAACACTTTTGGAAATCAGTTTTGTATTGAACAAAAATACGTGTATGTTTTGATTCAGTAACCCTTGGTATGTTTCTTTAAGAAAAAATATTTGAAAAGGATAAATTGATATGTACATAAATACTCACAGGGATATTATTATAATAGGCAAAAGACGTGGAAAGAACTTTAATATCCCATGGCAGAAAAAAGGTAGAGTAAGAGGCAGCTTCAAACTTTTTCTTCAATGGCAAGTTAGTAACCCTGTTAGATTGCAGGCCACATTGGCTGTGTAGCAAACATGCAACTTTTCTGTTGTATTACAAAAGAAGCCGTAGACAATTTAGAAACAAGTGGGTGTGGCTATGTTCCAAAAAAAATTTATTTATGAAAACAGGTAGATTGGCTTATGGGCTCTAGTTCAACAATTTCTGTTACAGAACCAAAACAGTGCATAAGAAGCTAGCAGCAGGTGTATCTTGAGAATATCTTGTGATAGAGGATGTATGAGAAGAAGCAGAGTAAAAATGTATCCACATTGTGACTGCAATTATGAGCAAATTGTAGAGAAGAAGAGCTAGTGAGGAACTGAGGAAGCTATAAAGCTTCTCAGTTATAACCCAATTAGGTTTAGGGAGTTTTGTTTTAATTTTCTATTTGTTCCTTGTATCAAACAGTATTGTGCAGTCTTTATAAAAATATCAATATCTCCTTCTGTACTATTTGTTTCTTTCGGTATTTGTCTTTCCCCATTTATTTCTTGTCTGGACTGCACTTTGATATTTAGTAATTTAAGCTCTGCCCTTAATGGCCTATCTTACATTACTGTCTCTTACTTTCTTTTACTTCCAGTCTGCTTATACTATAAATTGATTCACAAATCTGGCCCTCTACTTGTAAAGACCGCCAAAAGTAAGAAAAATCATAAATGATTTGATATGTGCTAAGAATTTTCACAAGTTAAGATTTTCCTAAGTCATTTTCTGATATCCCTGAAAACACTGAAATATATTTAGTTCTAAATCAATATTGAACTCTTTGTCAATCATGCAAAAATGTACAAAATATCTACAGTTTGACAGGGAAAAAAATTCACATCATAATTGGAATTCTTATAAACGTTGAGCAGGGTGCCTGGGTGGCTCAGTCAGTTAGGTGTCCAACTCTTGACCCACTCAGGGCATGATCTCACGGTTCATGAGATCGAGCCCCACATCAAGCTCTGCCCTGACAGTGCAGACCCTGCTTGGGATTCTCTCTCTCTCCATCTCTCTCTACCCCTCCCCTGCTCACACTTTCTCTCTGTCTCAAAATAAATGAACACTAAAAAAAATTAAAAAAAAAAAAGAGCAATTCAGGAAACTAGAAACCTGTGCATAATTATATATAGCCTGGATTAGCAAAACCTTAGAAAACTTAAAACCAATCTGAGAACAGATTGTTTGATTACTTTCTGTCCTTAACAGACCTGAGCTGTCACTTGGGGGAAGTGCTAAAAGTGCTACTGTTATATTGTAAGCAAACTGCTGTCATCCTCCCTTTATCAAACAAGTCTAAGTTAAACATTATATTAATGGACCATAACCACCATAAACTGGCTGAAAATGACTAAGAGTCTGGGGGGGGATGGACCAGGAGGTCACTGTTTGGAATGCCAAAGGTTCATAAATGTATAATGAACACTTTGCAATATACATTTATTATAATTATTCATTGCATTTCACCTGCATAGTGGTGATCTGACGTTAAGCACATGAACTTTTTAGAGGTATAAGCACACTTTTATAAATAAAAGAGTTCAGGGGCACCTGGGTGGCGCAGTCGGTTAAGCGTCCGACTTCAGCCAGGTCACGATCTCGCGGTCCGTGAGTTCGAGCCCCGCGTCGGGCTCTGGGCTGATGGCTCGGAGCCTGGAGCCTGTTTCCGATTCTGTGTCTCCCTCTCTCTCTGCCCCTCCCCCGTTCATGCTCTGTCTCTCTCTGTCCCAAAAAAATAAATAAACCTTAAAAAAAATTTTTTTAAAAGAGTTCATATCTCTGGTCCTTTTATCAGTCTATATTTCATTACTTTTGTGAATATGTGCCTAGCACAACTAAAACTCCCTGATGCCTGGCTGTTATGCCATGAAACTCTCAGAGGGGTATGCTAAAGATCTCCAGGAAACACTTAAAGTGGCAGCAGCAACTGAAATAGGAATAAATTTTTGAGGACCATCTGTTGGAAAAATCAAAACATCTGGATAAATGTAGACCCTAAGGCTCCTGAGGTTGGCAAAAACTATTCTATCATGAACAGGTCTTGGATTTAGAGGGGATGATTTCATTTGACTAGAAATAAGAAACTAATATGGGACATATGTGAGCCATACTTCATGTCATTGTTTCACATCTCAGGTGCGGAACATTTGGGGTCACCGTCTCCAACCCCTGTAGTAAGTCTGCACGTTGTGATAGTGGCAATCGGTAGACTTACTTCCCTGGGGGACATTCTGAACATTTTCATATAGTGAATACTTACCTTTTTAGGTGGACATAAATCATTTCTCTAAATATTTTTTTTAATTTTTCCTTTTTAAAAAAATATAGTTTTTCTTTGCTTTTAAGATCAGAATCCAGGCTTTCATAGCCAAAGAAGCATTCACACATTAAAGACTATCTCAACTGTCATACATTACTTAAAAATATATTGGAAGTATTAAAATAGAGAAAAAATACATATATATGCCACATCAATCTGAGGATAAAAATATTCCACTAATTTAAGAATATTTGTAGGAAACGAAACACTCTTCAAAATGTTTGATACAATTTAAAATTATGTTTATTCTTTACTTTCTATTCAAATTGAGTGCTTTCTTTGAAAAAAATATTCTTATATCTCTTTTTAAAAAAAGTTTGCATGCCTATTTCTAGGTGGTCACAGACGAGTGTTTGCAAATGGAAAATGGGTTCCACTAGTTTATGGAAGAGATCCTAAAGAGGAATGTCTGAATAACAAAGCTTATTGTTTTGTAACAAACATCCTCTTCTCATTCTTGTTGGACCAAGATCAAGTCTCCATTATTCCCACCTCCCCCCACCCCCCAACATGCTAAAGTATCAGAGTTCAAGGTCACTTGGCATTGTTTTGAGTGAGCTGGTTCACTGCTTCCTGAAACGGGCCACTCACTGAGCAAAGCCACTTCTTCTATGCTTCAATCTCAGAAACATAAAGGCAGCAAGTTACAAAGAAGTCAGAAAACATTACCTTGTTACAGAGAACAACTTGACCTGAAAACAAAATAACACAGATGTACAGCCAAACAGAGAAATCAGCAAGCTTGTGGAATGCCCAGTGACAGCCTTAAGCACATCCTTACTAAGTCTTTCAAAGAACGGTCACCTTAATTGGCTGACTCAGAACAGTCCACCCTCGGGCTGCAGGTGCTGCAGAAAACCACAGCTCCATTGGAAGGTGCCACTCTGCTATTTGAAATGATTTCAAAAAGGAGATACAGACCATCTTCAGCCATCTTTTCCCAGTCTTTCATCCCACACTGTCCCCTCAAAACACGACTTTAATCACAAATATCAGAGGAAACACACACCATACATGAGCACAACTTAATCCCTAACATATTTTCTGCCTCTTCTCCTATAAAAATCTGTATTGCCAAAGAAAAAGAGCAAGAAAAAAGATCTTTTACAAATGCTAACTTATGAGTGGAATGTTAAAATGCATACATACAAAAACCTTAACGA